AAAACCCATCTGGACATATGGGATTGAACTGTGGGGATGCAGTAAACCCTCCAATACGAAAGTTTTGCAAACGTTCCAGTCAAAAATGCTACGCTCAATAATAAACGCTCCTTGGTTCATATCAAATCAAACCCTTCACGCAGATCTCGGAATACCCTTAATAAAGGAAGCCATCAACAAAAAAAGCCATCAAATATAGAGATGGCATCGTAGGCCACGACAACCATCTAATAAATGAACTCGCCGCTCAAACCCTGGCGAACAGGAGACTCCAACGTCATTGGCCAGAAGACCTAGGCGACGCATGAAGACCCATCAGTGGATAGTAATCACAACAAGCCACTGCGGCGCCCGAACGTTTACTTATTGCTCTGTTACTAGAGTAGATTGTAAATTAGCAGTCAAATAATTAAAAAAAACCGTGAGGCAACTCAGCGGCGCACTTCGTAAATCAGTTCGTAGTGAAAGAAAAGTAGGAGATTTGTTCTTCCCAGAACTTCTCATTACATAATTGTTTTATGCGGATTCGAACAAAATCGTGGTCGCGTGAAGTCTGTTTAACTTCTGTTTTTGGATGACAGCTAATGAACCATGTAACAAATAATTTTGAATTTCTGAAGTTTCTTTCTGTTCTGTCAAGTACTGGGAAATTACATTTGTTCTCTGATCCCCTTTATTTTGCAATAAAATGGAGAGGGAGTGTTCAGAGAGACAGAGAGTGTGCCTCTAGAAGTGAAATGCATTAAACAACCTTCAGTTTGCTGAAGGAGTAATGTGTTATTGTTTGTAAGCACAGAATTCACCGGCCGAGGCTACTCCGGAAGTCAATTAATTAATTAATTTCATGTGGAGTAACAAATTCAACAAGCCATATAGCTTTCCGAACCGAGGGACGTACTCAGTTATGAGTGTGATGAGTAACGAATTGCCGACAAGGNTTTGGGTAGCGTACATGTGCTCTATCTTCCTGTTATGACCATTAATAGCTTTTAATAATTCTTAACAAATTACTCAGAAAATGGGGAGATCAGATGAGGGAAAAGTTAAAAACTCTGTACAAAATACGGTGTAATGAGCAAGCGAGATAAAAATAGTAGCCTTCCGAACCGAGAGACGTACTCAGTTATGAGTGTGATGAGTAACGAATTGCCGACAAGGATGGTGGACTCAGCAGGCTTATTATTTCTTTCTAACATTTTATATTTACGTCATTGCCTCAACGGTCAGTCTCGCTATTTCGCTCACAGAGTTAATTTATGGATTTTCATTGTTCTTTTATACAAAGTACATATAAAAACAGAACATGGTTGGTCGGGCGTCCTTCTGTCTGTTTAATTTCCGATTTCGATAAAACGTATCACTGGGAATTACTGAACGCTTTATGTTGCGAATTTAACTTTAGTTCATGTCGGTTCAGTATAAAGAAGTAAAGCTATCCCTGTAACAGGCCGTGGAGGCCCATAGGTTTGTGAGATGTTGAGGTTCCCACATTTTCTAGACAATCGGCTCATAGATCACGGCAAGGTTGTCAGCCTTACGCGCCGGCCGCGCTTTACCCCCAAGAATATTCCTGGTACTCATTTCTGCTAGAGGCTGAGTCGACTCCAGGGTCATAGTGCGGCTGGAAGGATTAGGTAAATTGAAAAAAATCCAGTGACCTTATCGGGATTCGAGCCCGCGACCTTCCCGTTTGTAGCATAGTGCCTAAACCAACTGCGCTACCGCGTGCCCCCGGTTCAGTGTAACTTCTACTAAAATTTTCAATGACCATCAAAACGAACGTTACCGGTTTTCTTTTCAAAGAGTCTATTATGCAGACAATTATCAAATGGTATAAAGCATGGATTAGTTTCAGATACAAAGTTTATTTGAAATAAGAATTTCCGGATGGAACTCATGAAGCCCACTCCCCTATTTTTCAGACTTCTAGTCCTACAAACGCTCTGTCGTTGAGCCCATATTTATATAAGAAAAATTTATAATCCAACAATGATATTCAGCCTAGCTCATGAGTTAGCATGCTGGACTCGTACGTAGATGGCGAAAGTTTCGAACTCTTGCGCAGCCCAACATGTATTGCTTCATGTAGTACTGGTAAATATGTTAGAGATTATCATCGTTATAAGTGTTATTTTTTATTATTATCTTTTTCTCTGAAAGAAAACATTACATAAATAGGCACTGTCGATTTTGTCTGCGTATAATTTTGACGGACATAACCTAAAAAATTTGCACCGTCACCATGTTTGTAATTGTCGACTTGTAAACATTATTTCACATATAATGCAGAAGTATATGTATGACGTGCGGCCGCGTCGAACACGAGATGCATAGCTCGAATAGTTCATCGGTTATCGCCATAAAAGTCACAGATAAAACAGACTTCCTTCAGGCGTCACTTTGTGTTTTACGTTTATAAAAAAAGTTACCTCAACGAAAGTTGTACACTTTTCCAAAGTCTGTTAGTAAACGCATTTGATGAGCCCAGATCACGTGATGATAGTGACTCGCACCTCATATGTCCATGCATTCACCGGGTAGTTATTACTGACTGCAGGAAATTTATAAGCACAACTTTCGGACGAAATCTAGTGGCATAATGCCAATACCAGTTGTCGTAAAAATCGGTTAACTTTTATACATGTTGAAGTGGGGGGTGGGGGCACACAGCCAGAGCGAAACAGACAGACAGCTCAGCGATCAATGTAATCAGCAATTAGCGAAATACAAGGGAATTGATTAATGCACTGTGTATTCTATAATGCGATTAGTCTGGGAACGCTAAAATTGTATCTGCAACAAATATAGGCGCATAATCATAAATAACACATGGAAAAATATATAATTTAACTGGAGTAGCTGTTCCACTTTTATTGTTCATGCAGTTTTTTTTTTCATTGGTGCTACAGCCCCAGTGGGCCTAGGCCTACCTCCATGAACTTCTCCGTTCACTTCGGTTTTTTTAGATCTTACACATTCGGTAGGACTCCTTGGGCGGGTGATCAGCTCGTCGCAAGGCCTCTACCTGTACACAAACACAGAAAAATGCACACACACAAACTAAACATCCATGCCCTGAGTGGGATTCGAACCCACGATCCCGGTTTCCAAGCGAGCGAAAGACAGTACATACCTTAGACCGCTCGGCTACCGTAACCGGTGTTCATGCAGTTACTGGACTAAATAATGAGTCTTTTTTGTCAATAATGTTGATTATTTACATATGATATGTTTTCTGTACGAGACGAAATGTTAAATATATTTGAGTTTACAATTTTTTACGTAGAGGTTTGATTTTATATTGTTTCCATAATATTTATGCGATTTTAAGTCGTTGACTACGTCACTAATTTTGATAGGTTCAACAACTACCTATTTTTTTTTTACTGCTAGTGGGGTGGGACTAAGTCCCTTGTACTGCGGCCGCTTCTGGCCTATTGTACCAGCCCCAGATGATAGGTGAGGGTGATTGTGGAGCAATTGGTAGAATGAAGATTGGCAGGGGAAACCGAAGTACTCGGAGAAAACGTGTCCCAGAGCCACTTTGTCCACCACAAATCCCACTTGACCAGACCCCAGGATCGAACCCGGGCCGCCGCGGTGGGAAGCCAGCGACTAACCGCTTGAGCTATGGCGCGGCCAACAACTGCCTAAGAGAAGAAGCATGATACATTAGGTAGCAAAGTTTGTGTGAAACAGCTGAAAGAAATTTAAGAATTTAGGGAAGAAACAATCCCACAAAAAGTGGCCCTACCTTTACTGATGTTTCATTTGGACTTATCGACGAGGGCAGAAAAATAATGCACCTAAGGGTTGGCAGCAGGAGTAGACATACCTTTAAGATATAAAAAGGAAAATGGAAGGATTAGACAGAAAGTAGGAATATTATAGAAATAGATTGGGACACCAGATAATTGGTTTTAGTTAATTTAACGGAGAGAATTCAACTACAGTACAGTCTCGGTAATCCGACCGTGCGCTAGTCCGACACGTCTAGTAATCCGGCATCAGGCGCCAGACAGGCGTCCGTGACCTTGTGCAGGTTCCTACAGGCAGCAGAGACTGACTTATATTCAGTCGAGCTTGACAAACTGATTTATGTAGACCCTTGCTAATACACAGGGGTTCAGTTCTTCAGTACTATACATTCCTCCGCCTGTTATCCGCACAGTACGACAAGATGACACCATGAGTGCCTTCAACACGTGTTATAAATGGGCCGAAGAAAGAAACGTGCAAGCTGAAGACATCCTCACATTGAAAAGATTGAAAACAAAAGTTCTAAAAAGGCATTTACAAACAAAAGACAGAAAATTATTGACTTTTATTTTTGTAATAACGCAGTGAAATGAAGCCCTAAATATTGAATCAACGGGCAGAAATTCACAGTACACATTTAAGTATGTAAAATAAATAAATCGTGCTAAATTATGTTAAATGGTAATCAATTCTGAAACTTCTATGTTGTGCAGTACAACTTAATAAATTTTTCCGAATTTTCCACTAATCTGTCGATTTCGGTAATCCGGCGGTACCTCGGTCCCATATATGTCCGATTACCAAGATTGTACTGTACTTGGATTGTGTACCGTCTAGGTAGAGAGGAGTGTATTATTCAGAAGTGTTGCGAAAGTCAGGAGTAGGAATGTACTGTTCGTTTTTCAAGATGACGTATCGCATACTGTAGGCATATAGCTACGCTGGTGAGGGCCGGTAGTACAGCAAGAAATAAGTAGGAAGCAATGAGAGGTGCATTCTCTTGGAGAAACAAGGGAACGTCACAAAGCATCAAGTCAGCTGGTATTCGAACAGAACGCCTTCTGAATGCGACTCAGAAGCTTTGAGGGTGTGCTCAGACCCCTTCACAGCAACTGGTAATATCAGTGCAGTTGAGGGAGGCCTTGAACTTTAACAACTATAGATCTGCCATATTTTTACCGATCTAAATATGTCATTTTGCAAACCGATTGTAATACAGCGCGTGTATTCATGCGTTTCAGATGGGCTACGCGAAACTGGGACAGAAAGGTACTGGAATTCACCTGAGACAGTTCTCACGAGCTTTCATCATCGACGACGGCAAACAGAGACTTGCATTTGTCAGTGTGGACTGCGCTATGATCGGAAATGGTCTTCGGAAAGAGGTAAGTGAGATTATAAACAGAGAAAATACGTACAGCCTTTCTGCTGTGAAACCTTAAGGGAACAAATCATTTGTGAGACCTTGTTTTAGACTGCAATGCGTGTTGCTCGTTACATGGACTGAACCCAGATGACTGAGGGAAGGGTACAAACGAGGGCGTCTGTGAACACACATGATGAATATCCGATTTCCATAATGGATAAAACAGAAGCACCGGGAAGAACTAATCGCATACTTTCCTCTGATGCGACAAGGATCGCATACAAAGTGAGGACTCCAACTATTCTTCGTTGCCTTGGGAACGTCTTTACCGGGTTCTTACCTAGAAACGATAGGGGGATAAACAGTCCCAAAGACACATGTCCAACAGTGCTTTTGTTATTTCGTGTATTCTTTTATGCGGGAACGTGTCTACCGTGCCGTNATCTTTACCGGGTTCTTACCTAGAAACGATAGGGGGATAAACACAGTCCCAAAGACACACATGTCCAACAGTGCTTCCGTTATTTCGTGTATTCTTTTATGCGGGAACGTGTCTACCGTGCCGTTGCCTACCAATGAAAGGAATACATTTTAGCGAGCCTTTGTCTAGTAACGATAGGAGGGATAAACGTACAGACACAAGGACTTATGGGTGGGATTTATGAAGCATGCCGTTGAGATGGGCTCAGGTGTCTACTGTGCCGTTGCCTAGCAATGAAAGGATGAATACATTTTACCGAGCCTTTGTCTAGTAACGATAGGAGGGATAAACGTACAGTCACAAGGACCTATGGGTGGGATTTATGAAGCATGCCGTTGAGATGGGCTCAGGTGCCATGATATACAGGCATTACAGAGTTAATAGGGAGGACTTCACAGAACAATATGGAGATCGCATAGGCCTGCTTACATTTTTTCGAAATAAGGAAAGCAGGCGAGAAAAGGCGGGAAATATAGGCTAGCTGAATGGCTGTCACTAGTTCAAGTAGACGACCACTATGAAGTATGACAAAATACCTAGCAGGCTTATTACTACCGTTGACTGAAAATCGCGTAATTCTGACTTCTGAATTTACTATTAAATTATTATCTGAAGACCAAACTTGGATATGGCACAGCGGGCTTCGCACGACATCCGTGGCTGTCTCTTGAACTATATTGAGATCGACTTGGAAGAAGTTTGGAGGAAACTAAGTAGGCAGGCCGCGCCATAGATCAAGCTGTTAGTCGCTGGCTTCCCACCGCGGCGGCCCGGGTTCGATCCCGGGTCTGGTCAAGTGGGATTTGTGGTGGACAAAGTGGTACTGGGGCGGGTTTTCTCCGAGTACTTCGGTTTCCTCTGCCAATCTTCATTCCACCAAATTCTCCATCATCATAATCACCCGGGGCAGGTACATTAGGCCAATCAGTGGCCGCCGTGCAGAGTGGACCCAGTTGGACTCCACCCTCCACCAAGCGAATTAAAAAAAGAGGGAAAATGTGTTACAGACTTTGGAGGAAAAGCCTTAATAATCATCAGAGACTTATGGAAAATTAAGTAAGTGGGGCATTTGCAATATTATGTAACTAGGAACCGTGTGGTTTAGAATATGTACAGGTTATCATACAATACGCAGTCTGACATATCGAAACCAAGTAAACCTAGAAACAAATAGGCCTCAGATACGTGACATCGTACAAATTCACGGACTTGAAAGTGACACTCCAAATTATAGTCACATTACATCTTAATCCTATTTGTAGAGGAAGGGTGACCTAAAATCAAGCATGAATGGATGTTAGTGGCAGACTGCAAGGTGAAGATTAAGAGACCATGCACTCTCAGGTGAGATGTAATAATTCGCCGAAGCATGTAATCTAGACTGTTCTTGTCTGCTGAAGACATGACGATGACAAATATTAATTTCTTGGAACACGAGTAAGATCCTCTTAAGTAGAGCCCCAACTCACGTGGAAGGATGTCAGCACTGCACCTTGAGCAGTGCTCAGACAAACGGGGCGAATCCTCTTCGTGACACCATTACAGCACTTAATGTATTGTTTAATCTCTCTTGTCCTACTCCGATAAACCCCGTTAAGTTGGGGTCTAGTGTTTGTTTCTACGTAATTACCACACAGAGCCACCGAAGTGTGCACCGAGTCTTGTCTCTGTCTATGGCTCTACGGTCCTTTGTTGCATCTTGACCGCTTTTTCAGTTTTGATTCCTTGGACAGGGGATCAGCACGTTGTGACGCCGCTGCCTACACAAAACAACACAAATACAGAATAAACGCACACAGACAACTGTGCCTTGAGTGGGATTCGAACCCACAGCCCCAGTGTCCGAGCAGGCGAAGACAGTTCATGCCTTAGACCGCGCAGCCACTGTGATCGGCAGGTCTCATCTCTGTGACCGTTTTATACAGTGCAACATTCTTTCTGTTCTTTTAACTATTTCCACCCTGCGTGGTATTGCAGGAAGTTACAAAATGAACACACAACATACAGACTTCCCTGTTATTCTGTACGTCCCTCCTACTGTACTACTGGAGAGATCCGAATGAAACGTGCGGTTGTAGCTCTACACTGAACTACATAGTTAGGCGAATTTAATTAATGTCGATCCAGTATAATCCCTATTAACAGGAAACTGAAACAGAGGTTCTCACTTTTCTCATAAATTGATAACGGTATGATAACTAAACATGTCATAAAACAAAGCTATTGTGACATCTTTAACCGTTGTTGGGCAACGGGAAGTGGAACGAGTTACCACGAAGACAGGCCCTGGATAAACGGTCGGTTGCCAAGTTACGCAACAGTGGAAACGAGGTTACGCAACATTTTTTTATTGCTAGTGGCGTGGGACTAATTCCCTTGTACTGCGGCCACTTCTGGCCTGTTGTACCAGCCCCACATGATAGGTGAGGGTGATTGTGGAGCAATTGGTGGAATGAAGATTGGCAGGGGAAACCGAAGTACTCGGA